GCAGGATATTACCACCAAAACTAAAGCTGTACCAGATCAGTTTAAACCTACCTGTGTTATGATTTTATAGCAGTCTAGGAGTGAGGTGCATTGGTGAAGGTTTTTGAAGCAGTCTGAATTATGCCTCACTTAAATGTGTTATACAAACTTTTTTTATATATATATTTTTTGAGTTCACAAAGAATCTTATCATTATATATTTGGTCAAGAGTTTATGAAAATAACCAGCATTTAGTTCCCCTAACCACCACATTCAAGTAAATTACATGATAAGCTATAAAAAAGAAGTTTAATTTCTGACTGCATCAGCAGCAGCTATAATACTCTGAAAACAGTTTGAAAAGTATTCACTTTGTACCAACTTATTATTTAGCTCCAAATTTGTGAGCTATTGGATTGACAAAGAAGGAACACTTTCCTGAATTTAAAGACTGAGTCACACTTCCTTGGTTCTTTCTGCTCCAAAGTGTCAGCATTTCTTCACTGAATGCTTATTGTAATTCTCTCTTAGGTATAAAGATTGCCAGGTGTTATATTATCTAACGGATTTATTTGCCCATTTTATAGTGAATGTTGCCAGAGAGAAAAGCCAGCCAAGTGTATGTTTTTCTTGGTTGCAATTTTCAGCTATTACATCTGCAATGATGGGAACTGAATTTACCAAAAGACAGTTTTCTGACAGAAAAGTTTTCACTGTTAGCAAAATAAGATCTGACTCAGAAAATCTCACTTGACAGTGGTCTTAGGTCTTGAACTAATGTCTTTAAATCCAAAGTTTACATTTTCTTTTCTTTGGAGCCTCCACTCATACTCGTACCATCTTTACAAGATTTTTTTTAAAAATGAAAAAAAAATGTTAAAAAAATAATATATCTATATTCTTGCTTCATGCTGTGCCCCAGCATATTTGTGATCATTTCTTTTTTCTCATCTCCAGATCCTTCTTATTTAGATATATTAATTTGCACTTACATGCTATTTTTTCACTCCTTTCTGAGAAGCTGCCCTGGACTGCCTTACATGAAACCAGAAAAGCATGCATGCAAAGTCAGAGGTATTATGGAAAGTTATCCAACATTATCCTCCTTCTATCAGTACTGGAAACTTGAACAACCAAGATGTATTGATGCCATTAGTACACTGGGAACTACCAGCCAAGAAGCTAGGACTGTGGAAAGGAAGTTAATGCTGCAACAAGTACTATAAACTGGTCCCTAATGTATGGCTTTTGCATTCCTGTGTCCCCAGACTCCATTACCTTCAACTTTTAGTGGCAAATAACCCAAATACTCTGTGCTAGAAAGTGAGCAGTGCTGGCAATGTGGCTGGGGATAGAACATACTGAATGACAGTATGCCATGTGACATAGATTCATAGATGTTAGGGCCGGAACGGACCTCAATAGATCATCGAGTCCGACCCCCTGCATAGGCAGGAAAGAGAGCTGGGTTCACATGAC